AATTCTCGCACTGGTCTCAACAGATGTGATGCACATCTGTGGAACGTGGCAGGGGCATAACTAATCCCTTGTGGCATTACTAGCCATTCCCAGAGCATGCCGCTAGGCGTGCTAACTGCGGTATAGGGTACGTCCCGATCTCGCATTAGGATTTGATAGAAGCCATCCATCAAACCCATGGACGAAAAGATGGTACTCTTTGACATACCATCAATGATTACGTCCTTCCTCGGTATCGGCGTCTGAGCCGGTACCGTTGCAGCGTTCAATTTGTTAAACGCGTGCACTATCCGCCACCCTCCTATTGCTTTTCGCACACAGAAGGTCGGAGAGCTATGTGGGGAAGTTGATTCCCTCACATGGCCCGCTGCTAAACGATCGGCAAAGAACTTGTCGATCGCAAGTACTTGTTCACGAGGCAGTGGCCACTGCTTCATGACACAGTACTTCGAGCCTGGTTTAAGCTCGACTTCGTGTCGAATACCTTTATCCTTCGGTAATTCGCACGGAACAGTTTCAGGGAATACATCCTTGAATTCAACCAAATCTTCATAGAGAGGATTTTCCTTGAGCGATTCCCATGATTGGGACTCATATCGCTCAATTCGTGTCTTTTCATCTAGGACACTCTCGTCCATAGATGAACTACTGAGAACTCTCTCGTTCTCAGTAAACACTGTTGCTGACCTTATGTCGGTTACATACTCGTCTTCAGCGACGAGTATGCAGATCTGCTTGACTTTGCCACTACGCAGATCACGCAAGAATCTTTTATGTTCGAGCGTTGGCAACTGAGTGATCTCCGAAGTTAACTTCGGAGGCGCAATCAGATCAAGTGTATAAGCGCCTACACATGATCCGTTATTGACTATGACATTCAATGTCTCTGTCATTTCCTGGGGACTTATTCCCTCAGGCTTCGAAGGACTTATTCCTTCGTCTTCCCGGGGACTTATTCCCGCGGGTTTCGGGGAACTTATTTCCGCCGTATTTGTAATCTTGGGACTTATTCCCTTTACTTCCTCTAGCTGGGGTTGCGCAACCACAGCGAGATCCTCTACGAAAGACTCTCCAGTCGATCTAGGATTATCGTTTCGCTTAACCTGAGCGATCGATTGTTTCTCTTCTAGATGTTCCCCTCTAGGGATACATCTTTGTCCCAGTCCACCCGACTTATTCGAGTGGTGGACCTTCGGCGCAGCCTGTTTTTCCTCACAGCCGCCGGAACTTTGCTCCGAAGTGTAACCGTTTGGTACACTAAGGTTTTGTGCAGTCGTACTAACGACCGTACCACAAGTGAGGCCATCGCACTCACTCGTAGTACATCCACACGCTTGTGGACGCTCCAAAACGTTCATCAGATGGCCATCTGATGAACAAGCGGCAGGCATCGTTACTGTCCGATGTTGCCAGTTTACCCGTGGTTCGTACCTTCTGAGCCACGGTATTCCAAGGATGACATCAAATTTGTCATCCAAATCCAATACGATAAAGTCATCGTCGTATTGGGTATCTTCTAGCGTATAGTGAATCTTCACTATACGCTTCATGACGGTTACGGATGCGCCTGTCGCAAGACGTACCGTCATCCTCGTAGGAGGTGTGTCACATTCACTGAATTTAAAGTGACCATCTTCTAGTGATTGGCGTCGCACAAAATTGTTGGACGCCCCACAATCGACTAGAGCTCGAAGGGACAACTTATTCGTCACTTCGAGTTTCAAGGTAATGAGTGAGATCTCATTACCTAGAGCAGCAACGCACAATGTCTGTGTGTTGGGAGCAACCTTCATCAAGAGGCCTACAAATTCTCTTGACGTTGCTGGATCAGTAGGGTGCTCCGCACCTACTGATCCTGTCCGTTTTTTTGACGGTCCATCCCGTTGTTGCGTCTTTGCACCAACTGCGGACCCTCGTCCCTGCCCCTTTCTCATGGGTGGACGGTCACTACGCCCAGTGTCGCGAGACACTGGACGAGGGGCACTACACTCGTAAGCGTAGTGTCCTGTCTTTTGACATCTGTTGCATCTCTGCAACTTCTTGTAGCCTGTAGAGCGAGCCTTCTCGCTCTCTACATAACAGAGTTCCATCGGCTCTGGACCTCCGTTGTCATATCGTCTCGGTTGACGATATGATGTCGAGCTGGCGCGAGCCTGTCTCAGACTGAAGTCTTCCTGCTCCGCAATTGAAATGGCTTGTTCTAGTGAATCTAGTTCAAGTCGGAACAGGTGAGTCTTGACGGGACCATCCGCAAGACCCTGCATGAACACCGAAACCAACGTGTGTTCATCCACCGGATTGGAACTTATACAACTCGTGAGATGTCGTATATGTTGAGCGTAAGCGTGCACATCACGCTTACCCTGCTTGAGCTTCAAGAGTTCGGTTCGAGCTCTGAACTCAGCTCTAGGCGGTTCAAACGTTTGTCTGAGCCGCGACTTGAAGACTTCCAACGACCCAAACGCGTATGGGTCGTGCAGCTTGAGCCCCAGTGCCCAAGTCTTGGCACGTCCTGCCAGATTTGACTGGGCAAATGCAACTTGCATATCCCCGTCGTCGATGCGACGCGCCCTTATGGCGTCATCCAATTCGACGAACCATCTCAAGAGGGAGTCTTCTTCGACCCCCTATACTTTGAGATGTCAATCTTCAAAGTCTCGGGCCGACGCGAGTGCATCGACCCGCCAGCAGCAGCCTGCTGCTGTCTCAACAGTTCAAACTGTTGAGCACCTTGTTCTCTCAACAACTCTGCTTGTTGAGAACCTTGTTGGTGAAGCAAGGCTACTTTCTCGCGTTCTGCGTCAAGTTCATTTTGAATGAACTTGGCGATAGTAGCATGTTGGGCATCTCTATTGAGAGCCTCTAGCATGACGCTAACAGCATGGATGCCCATGGTCGAACCCATTCGTTCAACCGCATCCCATTCGACATCGCTCAAATGGGAGTAGCCGTCACGCGTAGCGTGAAAGCTTTGGTCATCTTCATCATCCAACAAATTCATGTTAGATGTGAACGTGGTCCTTGGACGGACTACGAAGTGCTACCAGGTGTAACGGGGCACCCTGAAGCTTGTACTGGTGACAGTACAAGCTACTTATTCTGATAACAGAATAAGGCGGTGCCTCGTAACTTCACGTACACTCGTACGTGCAGAGGAAGACGGTAAGAAGAAGCGAGTACTCGGTTAGAGTAAAAAGTAGAACTGTATTTATAATAGTTAATGTCTGCAATAAATCACTATTTATCTTCATCTAACTATGTCTAAATACAAATGTGTAAATCAGTTATCTGCTCACCACTCATTGCGTGCGTCTGTCGTGGCGCGTCTTCGTTGGTTGATATAATGGCCTATATCAACCAATTAGGAACTACTTGGAAGTGCTACAGAATATTGTCCTTATGACAATATTCTGAGAATATAACTCTTATAGTTATATTCTATTAACAATTTCTTATAAATTGTTATGTAACGATTCACCCCGTTACACCATGGGTAAACACACTCGTGCCCACCATGACTGCGTCTAGTGCGTCTATGAGGTTACGCAATGGGACATGTAGGAAGAGAGCCATACCTGGGTACGCTAAACTCGCGTACAAAGCTCCAAAAAGTATACAATGGCGAGACGCTGCGCTACAAGTGATGCATATTGACTCCGGCGTCGTCTTGGGATAGTGATGCTTTTCGCCTATGTAGTTCTGCTTTATAGGCGAAAATGTTGACTTTTTCCGGAGGAAGTCAACCTGTTTCTGGTATTCAGTTGCCCTGTGTTGGAAATTGCTTCGTGTGGATCGCAGCTCCGTGAGCTGGCGGGAAACGATGGTCAAAGACTTGATGAATCCAACCCGGACTAGATATGAGCAATCTTTCCGCATATCGCTGATGATTAGCAGCAGCTGCCCTCGACGATACATTTGACCGCGATATCGCGAGTCGCATCTTCCACTCCGGTGTCCCTCGACTACCTCGTGCAGACCGTTGTCTCTTTCTATCCTAGCTCTGTGAATCGCTGTGCACAAAAAGACAGCAAGTCGCGCAGGAGCTTCTTTGCTTCCTCGTGCAATTTTACTGTGTTCGATCCCTGCCAAATGCGCGATGGTAGTCAGCTGCATTGCGCGATAAAATGAACAATCTGTTGGTCGCACCTCAATCCCGTCACAGTTTCTTGATCAGTCGAGGCATCTTACTTCCAAAGGTTCAGCCTGGATTTTCTCAAGCAGCCTCGTTTTGTCCAGCTTTCTTTCCTGCGAGTCACCTTTGCACTTCAGCCAGATCAGCCGCACGTGGTAGGAAGCTTGTCCGCGTCGAAGAGGCAGGTAGGTGCATGCAGCTGATCGATCACGCATAGCGCACTGTCTGGGCACATTTGAGCACGTCGTGAGCCCGAGCTGACCTGAAGAGCAAGAAGTCAACTACGAGGTGATGGCCAGGGGTTACGTCAAGATCGCTCGCTGGGACTGCCGCAGTGGTAACATTACTCCTAGCCAAGCGTCCTCTGTCCCCTGAATCGAAAAGTGCTCTGAGCGCGAGAGTAGCCCCGTCATCCGGTAGAGTGCACACAAGAATCTAACCCCGGACTTGGCCAACGGACGGTTTTACAGGTCCTTTTGGGAGTGCCCCGCCGTGTCGCCCGACGTCTTGAGCCAGCAGAATGAGAAAGCTAGGAGTAGTAAGACTATGTCATGGTAGATGACACGAGGTGGGTACCACACAACCCGACATCTTATGAGTGATGAGTAGCTATAATCGACAGTCTGAGCCTCTTGCCTAGCGCACTGTTTATGAAGGCAATGCAGCCGATCCCAGACAGCACGATTTGGGAACTGGTTATTCTAGCTCAGTACAAGGACTAGCTTAAAAATCAGTCCTTGGGCAAGTTCTACGCTGCAAATTCCGAGCTCACCTCTGAGCCACACTCTTGTAGAGGTTGGCCTGTCCGGATTTACGTCATTCCACAACTTGCCGCGTCTCCGTCAAAGCAATCTCCCTCTCTTCTACGATGCGAATTTACACCTCCAACATCGTAGCCATCGCTGCCTTCATCGCGTGCGTCGACAAATCATCAGTGGAGGCTAAAGCTGTCGCCGACTTCCATTCGGCTCGAACCGGTCCTGCCACCGACTTCGCTCTCGTAGAGAGGCGGTTGAGGTCTGACCAGCTGAAGGAAGGTGAAGAGAGGATGGAGGGTGGGGGGCTCGAGAAGCTGGAGGGCGTTGTCGTGAAGGGCACGGAGAGCAATCTCCGACGTCGCACAGGTTTTCTCCTACAGCATCTCGGCGCACTGAATTCCGAGATATCTACTGTGGAGGCGGTGGTAGCGGCAAACGAGGCAAAGCTGGCAACGATTCAACATTGGGATAAGGCGAAAGAGCTGGCCGTTCTTAGATCGAAAGATGTGGCGTCTCTGACTAAGGACGATCAGCACATGGGGGCGATAGTGGCGGCGCAATACATGCGGTCGAAGGTTCCGGATCAAGCGGCGACGGGACTTGCGTACCTCGATCGCCTGGCGAGGCACTGGGAGGGAAATATTGTGGACGACGTTGCCAAATTCGTACTGCCCGACACGACGATACTTGACCTCAATGGAGTGGCAGTGCTCAAACACTTTATCGAATACTTCGAGAAAGAGGAGGAAGTTGCTGAAGAAATGCTGATCAAGGCTCTCCTACTGCAGTACAGGGGCGACGGGCCGTTGTACCGAGTCGTGGCCTTAGCAAACAAGTATGTCAACCATGAAGGACTGGAAATTGAGTTGTTGCACGCACTTGCTCGTCACTGGTTTCGACAAGGGCGTACTCGAGAAGACGTATCCACGATATTGAGAGAGAATGGCGAGCCTACGGATGCATCGATCAAGGTGATAGCTTATACCACGTTCGACGAACTAGTGAGTGATGTAGAGAAGGCGGAGTTGAACGAGGCGATAGCGGCATACAAGACAAAGCTGGCAACGATTCAAGGTTGGGATGAGGCGAAAAAGCTGGATATTCTCGGATCGAACTGGGCGTCTCTCTCTCTGGACGAACAGCACATGGGGGCGATTGTGGCGGCGCAATTCACGCGGTTGGGGGATCCGGATCAAGCGGCGACGGGACTTGCGTACCTCGATCGCCTGGCGAAGCACTGGGAGGGGAAGCGTGTGGACGACGTTGCCAAATTCGTACTGCCTGATACGACGATACTTGACCTCGATGGAGCGGCAGTGCTCAAACACTTTATCGAGTACTCTGCGAAAGGGGAAGAAGCTGCTGAACAAGCGCTGATCGAGGCTCTCAAGACGCGCTACGAAAAAGTCTGGATGTTGTACCGAATCGTGGACTTATTGAACAAGAAGTAGCGGCAGTCCGAAAGTGAAGATTCTGGACGCACTTTACCGAAACTAGGTGGGACGGAAGTTTGACAGTAAGAAGGTGGCGAATTGGTGCGTCGAGTGAAAGGAGAAAATTTGAAGGATGTGCATCGCTTGTCTATCTTCGGGTCCGAGATAAATGAATCTCAGGCTAACAAGGACAGAATGAGTAAAGAAGCTGCCGGGGTTGAATAACGGTCTCGGTGACGTTTGTAAGCTCGATCCGTTCGTTCGTGAGGCATTTGCTAGTTGGCATAGTCGCAAGGCTCAGGAGTGTCTGGTCGCGTGTCTACTGTCAGAGAAGGTAAGGAGCCATGGTTTGGTTACCTGCTTGAACTAAGACGTTGCGTTGAATGTAGGGTGAGACTAACGGTGTGTGCTATTTTATTGCTGCAACTCTTTATAGGCAAGTTTGTTGAGCAACAATGTCGCATGTGCTGCAGGTCGATGCGTCACGATCACGGCACAGCTGAAGCAGAGTGAGACAACAACACCTCAATGAAAGCAGGATGTTTGTGTACTGTCCAAAACGTTCTTGTCGTCTCTTTGAGTTGTCATGTCACTGAATGGAGCTAATTCACCATGTCCATGGCATCTGCGCTCTCTTTATTACTCCCTCGTTTTTAGTGGCTTTGTCCCAAATCAAGCGATTATCTGTTTCATAATGCTTGTCAGTTTCGGCAGTATACATTTGTAAAGGTCAAATAGTCTACACATCCGACCCATAGTGTGGTATTCTTTAGATTGAAATAACGCTAATATTTTAACTTGCAGATCCACATCAATTATAGAGACCAATTGGTGTGATTTAAACTGAACATGCGTCTTTTAAAGATGCAACATGCGACGGATGATATTTTAAAATTGTGTGATCCTCGCAATAAGGTGCGGTTTAGTCAGCATCTATTCTGCGCTATTTTGTTCGACCAAGAGATTGCGGCCCTAACTGCTGTCCAAAATGAGGGCTCGTCAAAATATTGGAGCGATACGGAGACATCTGCAGCTTCTACGGAAAAGTTCCTCCTACAAAATGGTTTTCTATCCAGTCGACAACCAGTCAATAGACTGGTGCGCTATCGCAAGATTTTTTGCTTCTGCTATCACCGTAGCCAGTGATCAGACGCTTTTATTGTACTAAGGGCAATTTACGAGATAATCTTGCTGCGAACTTGCGCGGCGACGATCTGACGGGAGCAGATGCTTTCGGACGTTGTGCCCTGTTGTCGAAGGGGTCCCGTACGGAGAAGATGCCACCTCGTCGGTCCTTGGAGCTAAATTGAATAAATTTGTTACGCAAAATGTGCGTGGATCTAATCAAAGTATGCGGGCCAGGTGTGCAACGGGGTGAATCGTTACATAACAATTTATAAGAAATTGTTAACAGAACCTAACTATAAGAGTTATATTCTCAGAATATTGTCATAAGGACAAATATTCTGTAGCACTAACGAGTAGTTCCTAATTGGTTGACATAGGCCATTATATCAACCAACGAAGACGCGCCACGACAGACGCACGCAATGAGTGGTGAGCAGATAGTTGATATGCACATTTGTATTCAGACATAGTTAGATGAGGATAAACAGTGATTTATTAACAGACATTGACTATTATAAATACAGTTCTACTTTTTACTTTAACCAAGTACTCGCTTCTTCTTACCGTCTTCCTCTGCACGTACCAGTGTACGTGAAGTTACGAGGCACCGCCTTATTCTGTCATCAGAATAAGTAGCTTGCACTATTATCAGTACAAGCTTCAGGGTGCCCCGTTACACCTGGTAGCACTTCGTAGTCCGTCCAAGGACCACTTCACATCTAACATGAATATGTTCGATGATAAACATGACCAAAGCTTTCACGCTACGCGTGACGGCTACTCCCATTTGAGCGATGTCGAATGGGATGCGGTTGAACGATTGGGTTCAACCATGGGCATCCATGCTGTTAGCGTCATGCTAGAGGCTCTCAATAGAGATGCCCAACATGCTACTATCGCCAAGTTCATTCAAAATGAACTTGACGCTGAACGCGAGAAAGTAGCCTTGCTTCACCAACAAGGTTCTCCACAAGCAGAGTTGTTGAGAGAACAGGGTGTTCAACAGTTTGAACTGTTGAGACAGCAGCAGGCTGCTGCTGGCGGGTCAATGCACTCGCGTCGACCCAACACATTGACGATAGACATCTCCGAGTATAGGGGAGTCGAAGAGGACTCCCTCCTGAGATGGTTCGTCGAATTAGACGACGCCATAAGGGCGCGTCGCATTAACGATGGGGAAATGCAAGTTGCATTTGCCCAATCAAATCTGGCAGGACGTGCCAAGACTTGGGCACTGGGGCTCAAGTTGCACGACCCATATGCGTTTGGGTCGCTAGAAGTCTTCAAGTCGCGGCTCAGACAAAGGTTCGACCCGCCTAGAGCTGAGTTCAGAGCTCAAACCGAACTCTTGAAGCTCAAGCAGGGTAAGCGTGATGTGCACGCTTACGCTCAACATGTACGACATCTCACGAGTTGTACAAGTTTCAACCCGGTGGATGAACACACCTTGGTTTCGGTGTTCATGCAGGGTCTTGCGGATGGTCCCGTCAAGACTCACCTGTTCCGACTTGAACTAGATTCACTAGAACAAGCCGTTTCCATTGCGGAGCAGGAAGACTTCAGTCTGAAACAGGCTCGCGCCAGCTCGACATCATATCGTCAACCGAGACGATATGACAACGGAGGTCCAGAACCGATGGAACTCTGTTATGTAGAGAGCGAGAAGGCTTACGCTACAGACTACAAGAAGTTGCAGAGATGCAACAGATGTCAAAAGACAGGACACTACGCTTACGAGTGTAGTGCCCCTCGTCCAGTGTCTCGCGACACTGGGCGTAGTGACCGTCCACCCATGAGAAAGGGGCAGGGACGAGGGTCCGCAGTTGGTGCAAAGACGCAACAACGGGATGGACCGTCAAAAAAACGGACAGGATCAGTAGGTGCGGAGCACCCTACTGTTCCAGCAACATCAAGAGAATTTGTGGGCCTCTTGATGAAGGTTGCTCCCAACACGCAAACGTTGTGCGTTGCTGCTCTAGGTAATGAGGTCTCACTCATTACCTTGAAACTCGAAGTGACGAATAAGTTGTCCCTTCGAGCTCTAGTCGATTGTGGGGCGTCCAACAATTTTGTGCGACGCCAATCGCTAGAAGATGGTCACTTTAAATTCAGTGAATGTGACACACCTCCTACGAGGATGACGGTACGTCTTGCGACAGGCGCATCCGTAACCGTCATGAAGCGTATAGTGAAGATTCACTATACGCTAGAAGATACCCAATATGACGATGACTTTATCGTATTGGATTTGGATGACAAATTTGATGTCATCCTTGGAATACCGTGGCTCAGAAGGTACGAACCACGGGTAAACTGGCAACATCGGACAGTAACGATGCCTGCCGCTTGTTCATCAGATGGCCATCTGATGAACGTTTTGGAGAGTCCACAAGCGTGTGGATGTACTACGAGTGAGTGCGATGGCCTCACTTGTGGTACGGTCGTTAGTACGACTGCACAAAACCTTAGTGTACCAAACGGTTACACTTCGGAGCAAAATTCTGGCGGCTGTGAGGAAACACAGGCTGCGCCGAAGGTCCACCACTCGAATAAGTCGAGTGGACCGGGACAAAGATGCATCCCTAGAGGGGAACATCTAGAAGAGAAACAATCGATCGCTCAGGTTAAGCGAAACGATAATCCTAGATCGACTGGAGAGTCTTTCGTAGAGGATATCGCTGTGGTTGCGCAACCCCAGCTAGAGGAAGTTAAGGGAATAATTCCCGATATTACAAACACGGCGAAATAAGTTCCCCGAAACCCGCGGGAATAAGTCCCCGGGAAGCCGAAGGAATAAGTGAATAAGTCCCCAGGAAATGACAGAGACATTAAATGTCCTAGTCAATGACGGATCAAGTGTAGGCGCTTATACACTTGATCTGATTGCGCCTCCGAAGTTAACTTCGGAGATCAATCAGTTGCCAACGCTCGAACATAAAAGGTTCTTGCGTGATCTGCGTAGTGGCAAAGTCAGGCAGATCTGCGTACTCGTCGCTGACGACGAGTATGTAATCGACATAAGGTCAGCAACAGTGTTTACTGAGAACGAGAGAGTTCTCAGTAGTTAATCTATGGACGATAGCGTCCTCGATGAAAAGACACGAATTGAGCGATATGACTCCCAAGCGTGGGAATCGCTCAAGACAAATCCTCTTAATGTAGATTTGGTTGAATTCAAGGATGTATTCCCTGAAACTGTTCCGTGCGAATTACCGAAGGATAAAGGTATTCGACACGAGGTCGAGCTTAAACCAGGCTCGAAGTACTGTGTCATGAAGCAGTGGCCACTGCCTCGTGAACGAGTACTTGCGATTGACAAGTTCTTTGCCGATCGTTTAGCTGCGGGCCATGTGAGGGAACCAACTTCCCCACATAGCTCTCCGACCTTCTGTGTGCGAAAAGCAACAGGAGAGTGGCGGATTGTGCATGCATTTAACAAGTTGAATGCTGCAACGGTAAGCCAACCCGGACGCCGATACCGAGCAAGGACGTAATCATTGATGGTATGTCAAAGAGTACCATCTTTTCATCCATGGAATTGATGGATGGCTCCTATCAAATCCTAATGCGAGCACGGGATATACCCTTTATTGCAGTTAGCACGCCTAGCGGCATGCTCTGGGAATGGCTAGTAATGCCACAAGGGATTAGTTATGCCCCTGCCACGTTCCACAGATGTGCATCACATCTGTTGAGACCAGTGCGAGAATTCGCACCGAGTTATTTCGATGACGTATTCATCCATAGTCAGGCTATGGATGGAAAGTCGGACGTTGAGGTTCACAGATACCACGTCCGACAGGTTCTTACAATCATGCGAAAGCATCAATTGCATGCAAATCTCAAGAAGTGTATATTTGCAGCAAACGAAATACCACTTTTTGGGTGCATCGTTGGTAAGAACGGAGTACGTTTTGATCCCGAAAAGATCAAGGCGATCACCGACTGGCCTGTGCCGGTCGATGTCAAAGGTCTTCGAAAATTCCTTGGGCTAGCGGCGTATTTGCATGAGTATTCACGCAATTACGCCGAGATGACTGTGCACCTCTCTCGTTTGTTGAAAAAGAACGAGAGGTGGTTATGAAACGCTGAATGTCAGAGCTCCGTTGATGGTATCAAGCAGAGCTTGATACAATCCCCAGTCCTAGCAATAGCCAATCAGGACAGGCCATTTCATGTGGTCTGTCATGCCAGCGATTTCGCAATCGGCTGTGCAGTAATGCTGTACGACCTAGAAGGCGTTGAACGCGTCGTCTGCTATCAGTCGCGTCAGCTGCAACCAGCTGAGCGAAACTATCCAGTGCATGACAAGGAACTCCTTGCCATGAAATATGCACTCGCGAAGTTCATAGTCTATCTATCAGGAGATAGACCCTTCATTGTTTACACTGACCATGCGTCATTACGCACGGCAGTGAAGAGCCCGCACCTTTCACAACGAATGGCGCGGTGGTTGTCATTCTTTGCGGAATACAACTTTACGGTCGAGTACAAACCAGGACGACTTAATGTCGTCGCTGATGCACTCTCACGTCGTCCCGACTTTGAAACAGTCGTGAAACCCAACAGTGAGACAGTCACTGTTGCGGTTATAATGTCCACAATACCATCTACAACGTTACATGATGATGTGAGGCGGGCATACGCCCAAGATGGTAAGATTGTGAAGTTGTTGACACATATCTCACAACCATCTCCAGAATCGTTGAAACGATTATCGACTGCGTATCGATCTGCATCAGATCGATACACTACTCGCAACGGGTTACTGTATTATACAGCCGTTACTGGTGACACACCACGTGTTGTCATTCCAGATGACACTGATCTGCGTTTGCAGATCATGTTCAAGTATCACGATGCTCGTATAGGAGGACATCGTGGCCGGGAGAAAACACATCTCACGGTGAGTCGAGACTTTTACTGGCCCCGCCGGTGTCAGTTTTTGCGAAAGTATGTTCGCGCATGCGAAGTCTGCCAACGAGTGAAGTCAAGTCCTTCACTGCGTGCACCTTTACAGCCTTTACCGGTTCCGGCAGAGTGCTGGAAATCCATCTCAGTGTATTTCGTCTTCGGGTTACCCAAAGACGCACGCGGGAATACGGGTATTCTCGTATTTGTTGACAGATTCAGCAAAATGGTACACCTTGTGGCTGTACCAGAGTCAATCACGGCAAGTGGCTGTGCTTGTGTCTTTATTGACATCATCTTCCGACTTCATGGGCTGCCCCGTGAACTCGTATCAGACAGAGATCCACGATTCACTGCTGATTTCTGGCGTTCCGTGTTCAAATCACTCGGAACGCGCTTGAAGATGTCAACATCTGATCATCCAGAGTCAGATGGTCAGACGGAACGAGCCAATCGTGTCCTTGAAGATATACTTCGACGATGCGTACACTCCTTTAAGAGTTGGAGTGAGTTCTTGCCAATGGTAGAGTTTGCCATTAACAACTCGGTGCATGCGTCCACGACACATACACCGTTTTACGTGAATGGCTTGCGCCATCCGCGTGTACCCACCTTACTAAAGTGTATCTCTGGTTTAAGGGGGGGAAGGAATCCCCCGAGCAAAAACCGATTTGGTTCACGCTCATCACGCTCTGAAGAAGAGGTCATTGCGTTTGATGCCGACATCGACAACATCGATATCGAAGAAGATGATGCCAGTGAGATCTAGGAAGCCCTCACTGAAGAAACGATTGATGTTGCTGCAGTGCACTCACAGCGCACTGAAGCTAACGAGTCATCAGATGAGTTCATACTGGCTCGTGAAACGGTAGTCCGTTTTGTGCAAGACTCCATCGCCGAAGCGGTGGATAAGCAAAAATAAAACACTGACAAGAATGGAAGGGCAAACACTCTTTTATTTAATAAAGGTGACTTAGTCCTACTGTCTACGGTTAATCTACCGAAGCATGTAGTGACTAACTTGGGTAGCAGTAAACTGCTACCCAAGTACATCGGCCCATTTCGTGTATTGCATCGCCTAGGCAACGCATACACGATCGAACTGCCACGTAAGATGCGAACGCATCCCACGTTTTACGTTGGTCGGCTTAAGCCGTACCATCGGTACGCTGCTTCTTCCGATAAAGAACGCCCTTGCGCTCAAGCATCTCGCAGAGAGCCTTGTGCTCCCGATGGTGGGCATCGACAAGGGTCTGAAGAGCAGCTATCTCATCCCGAGACCGATCAACAATCCCACGAGCTACCCTTAGCGCATCACGAAGAGATGTCAGAGCTCTCTCGTTCTCAAGCTGAGCAAAGGCAAACTCAGCTCGGTGCTTCAAGACAGTGTGCGCCATTTGTAGACGCCTGTCCCGCTCATGTTCGAGATCAACGCGTAACCTTTGCGTTACGCGATCAAAGAAGCTCTCGGGAACACACGCTTACCCACGATAGTTTGGAGAGCGTCTTTCATCCTCTTCCACCTCCATTGGAGGACTCTCGCGGTGGTCAGCGCTATCTGGTTGAGCAGCTGTTGAACCACCGCGATGTGAACGGACGTCAGACGAGTTACCTCGTCCGGTGGCGCGGGTATCCCCCGTCCTGGGATACTTGGGAGCCCCACTCCCAACTGATGATTGACGTACTGGTTCTGGTTGATCAGTACGACGCGGCACATCCTGTGCCGCAGAAGGACAGCTGGAGAAAGTCTTCCCAGCACGGTCGTAAAGGGATTTCAGGTTGTCAATCCCTTCGTGCATCTCACTAGAGATACGTACGCGCCACCACGGGCTATTAGGGAGGTAAGCCTCCTTAGGTGCGCGCGCAGAGTTGTTCACACAACATGGGCACGAGTCTCTCCAGGAGAGACAGGGTAACCCACTCTCCCTAGAAAGACGATGCAGCTTGTAGCGTGCACCTGTCAGGGTTCGCTTTTCATACTTATCTCGATCTTTGATAAGTTTGTCGTTCCAAACGTCACGACCTACATCCTCAAGGTTATGGATGTAAGCGTTCCACGCTTGAAGTAGTGAGGGACCATCACGTTTGTGTTTCCCACTGTACCGTCGATGTGTGAAGAAAGCATCGATGAAGAATTCATTCTCAGCGCGATAGTTTTTCGCACTGGGGTCAAGGTGATGGATCCTTGACGAATCGAACAACCGTGTTCGATAACGATCACTCGTCGTCGCCGACAAGTGATCCATGACGGATTTAGGAGGCATCCATGCCTTCTTCTCAGGATCGAGACGCAACACACTGCAGTCCCGCTCTTCCTGCGACGTGCCAACAGAATTTCTGGCACCTCGCTGCGAAGTGGTGTCCGTAGGAGAGCCGACACCACTGTTAGTGCCCGAGTCTCGCGACCTCGAGCGCCTTCGCTTCGGCGATGGTTCATCTAATTCTTCAGATGAACCAAAGATGCCACGATGCGTAGCATCATCCATGCCACGCTCGGCAGGCGGCTTGGACTCAATCGCCGTCGATACGGATCCGTCATCCGTATCAGGAGAGTATGAGACGCCGAGCTCACACTCTGTGAAGACAGGAGTGTCTTCATGACGAGCGCCTGCATCATCAGGTGATACAGGCTGAGACGCTTTCGCAACCGATGACACATCGTTTGCAGCGGATTCTGCTTCGGCGTCTGCACAGAGACGTGCAGACGCGCTCTCAGCGGCCTTGTTCGCGCACCGCATGGACTTGTTAACCATGCGATGAATTGTTGGAAAGTGGACTCGGACCAACAAGTGCAAACCCTGTCCCAAATGATTCAGGACGAGTATCCATTTAGTCAATCAGTCACTATAGTGACTGATGGTTAAGAGGGGTGATGTAACGGGGTGAATCGTTACATAACAATTTATAAGAAATTGTTAATAGAATATAACTATAAGAGTTATATTCTCAGAATATTGTCATAAGGACAAATATTCTGCAGCACTTACGAGTAGTTCCTAATTGGTTGATATAGGCCATTATATCAACCAACGAAGACGCGCCACGACAGACGCGTGCAAGAGTGGTGAGCAGGTAGTTGATATGCACATTTGTATTCAGACATAGTTAGATGAGGATAAACAGTGATTTGTTTAACAGACATTAACTATGATAAATACAGTTCTACTTTTTACTTTAACCAAGTACTCGCTTCTTCTTACCGTCTTCCTCTGTAAGTACCAGTGTACGTGAAGTTACGCGGCACCACCATTTTCTGTCATCGGAATAAGTAGCTTGTACTGTCATCAGTACAAGCTTCAGGGTGCCCCGTTACACTTAGGGTCCGAAGAACAAGAGTTATGGTCGATCGATAGGGACTCACTTCGCTATGTGATCAACATTTACCTAGTGCGATACCGTCAGTGTAGAAGCTGAGTAGCTGTTCCACTGGATCGTATTTAATACCGCTAGTGGTGTGCCCACGCAAGCAAGACTCTTTTAAGAAGTAGTGGTAACGAAATTGCGAAGTTTGAACACATGTTTTTACCTCAATACAGAAGAGTTCCAGTGAGTAGCGAAGTCATAAAGCATGGCCTGGGTGAAAGCGTTAATGTAACGGGGTGAATCGTTACATAACAATTTATAAGAAATTGTTAATAGAATATAACTATAAGAGTTATATTCTCAGAATATTGTCATAAGGACAAATATTCTGTAGCACTTACAAGCAGTTCCTAATTGGTTGATATAGGCCATTATATCAACCAACGAAGACGCGCCACGACAGACGCACGCAATGAGTGGTGAGCAGATAACTGATTTACACATTTGTATTTAGACATAGTTAGATGAAGATAAATAGTGATTTATTGCAGACATTAACTATTATAAATACAGTTCTACTTTTTACTCTAACCAAGTACTCGCTTCTTCTTACCGTCTTCCTCTTGCACGTACGAGTGTACGTGAAGTTACGAGGCACCGCCTTATTCTGTTATCAGAATAAGTAGCTTGTACTGTCACCAGTACAAGCTTCAGGGTGCCCCGTTACACCTGGTAGCACTTCGTAGTCCGTCCAAGGACCGCGTTCACATCCAACATGAATATGTTGGATGATGAAGATGACCAAAGCTTTCACGCTACGCGTGACGGCTACTCCCATTTGAGCGATGTCGAATGGGATGCGGTTGAACGAATGGGTTCGACCATGGGTGTAACGGGGTGAATCGTTACATAACAATTTATAAGAAATTGTTAATAGAATATAACTATAAGAGTTATATTCTCAGAATATTGTCATAAGGACAAATATTCTGTAGCACTTCCAAGTAGTTCCTAGTTGGTTGATATAGGCCATTATATCAACCAACGAAGACGCGCCACGACAGACGCACGCAATGAGTGGTGAGCAGATAACTGATTTACACATTTGTATTTAGACATAGTTAGATGAAGATAAATAGTGATTTATTGCAGACATTAACTATTATAAATACAGTTCTACTTTTACTCTAACCGAGTACTCGCTTCTTCTTGCCGTCTTCCTCTGCACGTACGAGTGTACGTGAAGTTACGAGGCACCGCCTTATTCTGTTATCAGAATAAGTAGCTTGTACTGTCACCAGTACAAGCTTCAGGGTGCCCCGTTACACCTGGTAGCACTTCGTAGTCCGTCCAAGGACCGCATTCACATCCAACATGAATATGTTGGATGATGAAGATGACCAAAGCTTTCACGCTACGCGTGACGGCTACTCCCATTTGAGCGATGTCGAATGGGATGCGGTTGAACGAATGGGTTCGACCATGGGCATCCATGCTGTTAGCGTCATGCTAGAGGCTCTCAATAGAGATGCCCAACATGCTACTATCGCCAAGTTCATTCAAAATGAACTTGACGCAGAACGCGAGAAAGTAGCCTTGCTTCACCAACAAGGTTCTCAACAAGCAGAGTTGTTGAGAGAACAAGGTGCTCAACAGTTTGAACTGTTGAGACAGCAGCAGGCTGCTGCTGGCGGGTCGATGCACTCGCGTCGGCCCGAGACTTTGAAGATTGACATCTCAAAGTATAGGGGGGTCGAAGAAGACTCCCTCTTGAGATGGTTCGTCGAATTGGATGACGCTATAAGGGCGCGTCGCATCGACGACGGGGATATGCAAGTTGCATTTGCCCAGTCAAATCTGGCAGGACGTGCCAAGACTTGGGCACTGGGGCTCAAGCTGCACGACCCATATGCGTTTGGGTCGTTGGAAGTCTTCCAAGTCGCGGCTCAGACAAACGTTTGAACCGCCTAGAGCTGAGTTCAGAGCTCGAACCGAACTCTTGAAGCTCAAGCAGGGTAAGCGTGATGTGCACGCTTACGCTCAACATATACGACATCTCACGAGTTGTATAAGTTCCAATCCGGTGGATGAACACACGTTGGTTTCGGTGTTCATGCAGGGTCTTGCGGATGGTCCCGTCAAGACTCACCTGTTCCGGCTTGAACTAGATTCACTAGAACAAGCCATTTCCAATTGCGGAGCAGGAAGACTTCAGTCTGAGACAGGCTCGCGCCAGCTCGACATCATATCGTCAACCGAGACGATATGACAACGGAGGTCCAGAGCCGATGGAACTCTTGTTATGTAGAGAGCGAGAAGGCTCGCTCTACAGGCTACAAGAAGTTGCAGAGATGCAACAGATGTCAAAAGACAGGACACTACGCTACGAGTGTAGTGCCCCTCGTCCAGTGTCTCGCGACACTGGGCGTAGTGACCGTCCACCCATGAGAAAGGGGCAGGGACGAGGGTCCGCAGTTGGTGCAAAGACGCAACAACGAGATGGACCGTCAAAAACGGACAGGATCAGTAGGTGCGGAGCACCCTACTGATCCAGCAACGTCAAGAGAATTTGTAGGCCTCTTGATGAAGGTTGCTCCCAACTACACAGACATTGTGCGTTGCTGCTCTAGGTAATGAGATCTCACTCATTACCTTGAAACTCGAAGTGACGAATAAGTTGTCCCTTCGAGCTCTAGTCGATTGTGGGGCGTCCAACAATTTTGTGCGACGCCAATCGCTAGAAGATGGTCACTTTAAATTCAGTGAATGTGACACACCTCCTACGAGGATGACGGTACGTCTTGCGACAGGCGCATCCGTAACCGTCATGAAGCGTATAGTGAAGATTCACTATACGCTAGAAGATACCCAATACGACGATGACTTTATCGTATTGGATTTGGATGACAAATTTGATGTCATCCTTGGAATACCGTGGCTCAGAAGGTACGAACCACGGGTAAACTGGCAACATCGGACAGTAACGATGCCTGCCGCTTGTTCATCAGATGGCCATCTGATGAACGTTTTGGAGCGTCCACAAGCGTGTGGATGTACTACGAGTGAGTGCGATGGCCTCACTTGTGGTACGGTCGTTAGTACGACTGCACAAAACCTTAGTGTACCAAACGGTTACACTTCGGAGCAAAGTTCCGGCGGCTGTGAGGAAACACAGGCTGCGCCGAAGGTCCACCACTCGAATAAGTCGGGTGGACTGGGACAAAGATGTATCCCTAGAGGGGAACATCTAGAAGAGAAACAATCGATCGCTCAGGTTAAGCGAAACGATAATCCTAGATCGACTGGAGAGTCTTTCGTAGAGGATCTCGCTGTGGTTGCGCAACCCCAGCTAGAGGAAGTAAAGGGAATAAGTCCCAAGATTACAAATACGGCGGAAATAAGTTCCCCGAAACCCGCGGGAATAAGTCCCCGGGAAGACGAAGGAATAAGTCCTTCGAAGCCTGAGGGAATAAGTCCCCAGGAAATGACAGAGACATTGAATGTCATAGTCAATAACGGATCATGTGTAGGCGCTTATACACTTGATCTGATTGCGCCTCCGAAGTTAACTTCGGAGATCACTCAGTTGCCAACGCTCGAACATAAAAGATTCTTGCGTGATCTGCGTAGTGGCAAAGTCAAGCAGATCTGCATACTCGTCGCTGAAGACGAGTATGTAATCGACATAAGGTCAGCAACAGTGTTTACTGAGAACGAGAGAGTTCTCAGTAGTTCATCTATGGACGAGAGTGTCCTAGATGAAAAGACACGAATTGAGCGATATGACTCCCAAGCGTGGGAATCGCTCAAGACAAATCCTCTTAGTGTAGATTTGGTTGAATTCAAGGATGTATTCCCTGAAACTGTTCCGTGCGAATTACCGAAGGATAAAGGTATTCGACACGAAGTCGAGCTTAAACCAGGCTCGAAGTACTGTGTCATGAAGCAGTGGCCACTGCCTCGTGAACAAGTACTTGCGATCGACAAGTTCTTTGCCGATCGTTTAGCAGCGGGCCATGTGAGGGAATCAACTTCCCCACATAGCTCTCCGACCTTCTGTGTGCGAAAAGCAACAGGAGGGTGGCGGATAGTGCACGCATTTAACAAATTGAACGCTGCAACGGTACCGGCTCAGACGCCGATACCGAGGAAGGACGTAATCATTGATGGTATGTCAAAGAGTACCATCTTTTCGTCCATGGATTTGATGGATGGCTTCTATCAAATCCTAATGCGGGAACGGGATATACCCTATACCGCAGTTAGCACGCCTAGCGGCATGCTCTGGGAATGGCTAGTAATGCCACAAGGGCTCAGTAATGCCCCTGCCACGTTCAACAGGTGTGTATCACATCTGTTGAGGCCAGTACGAGAATTCGCGCCGAGTTATTTCGATGACGTATTCATCCATAGTCGAGCTATGGATGGAAAGTCGGACGTTGAGGTTCACAAGTACCACGTCCGACAAGTTCTTACAATCATGCGAAAGCATCAATTGTATGCAAACCTCAAGAAGTGTATATTTGCAGCAAGCGAAATACCACTTCTTGGGTGCATCGTTGGTAAGAACGGTGTACGTCCTGATCCCGAAAAGATCAAGGCGATCACCGACTGGCCCGTGCCGGTCGATGTCAAAGGTCTTCGAAAATTCCTTGGGCTAGCGGCGTATTTGCATAAGTATTCACGCAATTACGCCGAGATGACTGTACACCTCTCTCGTTTGTTGAAAAAGAACGAGAGGTGGTTATGGAACGCTGAATGTCAACGCTCCTTTGAGGGTATCAAGCAGAGCTTGATACAATCCCCAGTCCTAGCAATAGCCGATCAGGACAGGCCATTTCATGTGGTCTGTGATGCCAGCGATTTCGCAATCGGCTGTGCATTAATGCAGTACGACCTTGAAGGCGTTGAACGCGTCGTCTGCTATCAGTCGCGTCAGCTGCAACCAGCTGAGCGGAACTATCCAGTGCATGACAAGGAGCTCCTTGTCATGAAGTATGCACTCGCGAAGTTCAGAGTCTATCTATTAGGAGATAGACCCTTCGTTGTTTACACTGACCATGCGTCCTTACGCACGGCAGTGAACAGCCCGCACCTTTCACAACGAATGGCGCGGTGGTTGTCATTCTTTGCAGAATACAACTTTACGGTCGAGTACAAACCAGGACGACTTAATGTCGTCGCTGATGCACTCTCACGTCGTCCCGACTTTGAAACAGTCGCGAAACCCAACAGTGAGACAGTCACTGTTGCGGTTATGACGTCCTCAGTTCCATCTACAACGTTGTATGATGATGTGAGGCGGGCATACGCCCAAGATGGTGAGATAGTGAAGTTGTTGTCACATCTCTCCCAACCATCTCGAGAATCGTTGAAACGATTGTCGTCTGCGTATCGATCTGCATCAGATCGATACACTACTCGTAACGGTTTACTGTACTATACAGCCGTTTCTGGTGACACACCACGTGTTGTCATTCCAGATGATACTGATCTGCGTTTGCGGATCATGTTCGAGTATCACGATGCTCCTATAGGAGGACATCGTGGCCGAGAGAAAACATATCTCACGGTAAGTCGAGACTTTTACTGGCCCCGCCAGTATCAGTTTGTGCGAAAGTATGTTCGCGCATGCGAAGTCTGCCAACGAGTGAAGTCAAGTCCTTCACTGCGTGCACCTTTACAGCCTCTACCGGTTCCGGCTGAGTGCTGGGAATCCATCTCAATGGATTTCGTCTTCGGGTTACCCAAAGACGCACGCGGGAATACGGGTATTCTCGTATTTGTTGACAGATTCAGCAAAATGGTACACCTTGTGGCTGTACCAGAGACAATCACGGCAAGTGGCTGTGCTTGTGTCTTTATTGACACCATCTTCCGACTTCATGGGTTGCCCCGTGAACTCGTATCAGACAGAGATCCACGATTCACTGCTGATTTCTGGCGTTCCGTGTTCAAATCACTCGGAACGCGCTTGAAGATGTCAACATCTGATCATCCAGAGTCAGATGGTCAGACGGAACGTGCCAATCGTGTCCTTGAAGAGATACTTCGAGGATACGTACACTCCTTTAAGAGTTGGAGTGAGTTTTTGCCGATGGTAGAGTTTGCCATCAACAACTCGGTGCATGCGTCCACGACACATACACCGTTTTACGTGAATGGCTTGCGCCATCCGCGTGTACCCACCTTACTAGAGTGTAACTCTGGTTTAAGGGGGGGGGACTCGCGCGAGCAAAAACCGATTTGGTTCACGCTCATCACGCTCTGACGAAGAAGTCATTGCGTTTGATGCCGATATCGATAACATCGATATCGAAGAAGATGATGCCAGTGAGAGTGCGGAAGCCCTCACTGAAGACAATGATGCCAGTGAGAGTGCGGAAGCCCTCACTGAAGAAAAGGTTGTTGTTGCTGCAGTGCGCTCACAGCACACTGAAGCTAACGAGTCATCAGATGAGTTCATACTGGCTCGTGAAACGGTAGTCCGTTTTGTGCAAGACTCCATCGCCGAAGCGGTGGATAAGCAAAAAGCAAAACGCTGACAAGAATGGAAGGGCAAACACTCTTTTATTTAATAAAGGTGACTTAGTCCTACTGTCTACGGTTAATCTACCAAAACATGTAGTGACTAACTTGGGTAGCAGTAAACTACTACCCAAGTACATTGGCCCATTTCGTGTATTGCACCGCCTAGGCAATGCATACACGATCGAGTTACCACGTAAGATGCGAACGCATCCCACGTTTTACGTTGGTCGGCTTAAGCCGTACCATCAGTACGCTGCTTCTTCCGATGAAGAACGCCCTTGCGCTCAAGCATCTCGCAGAGAGCCTTGTGCTCCCGATGGTGGGCATCAACAAGGGTCTGAAGAGCAGTTATCTCAGCCCGAGACCGATCAACAATCCCACGAGCTACCCTTAGCTCGTCACGAAGAGATGTCAGAGATCTCTCGTTCTCA